ATTGGTTCCGTGTATCGGTTCTGTGTATCAGTTCTGTGTATACGATATGTGTATCCATTCTATGTATCAGTTCTGCGTATCAGTTCTGTGTATCAGTTCTGTTTATCCATTATGTGTATCGGTTCTGTGTATCAGTTCTGTGTATCAGTTAAGTGTATCAGTTCTGTGTATGAGTTCTGTGTATCCATTCTGGGTATGCATTCTGCGTATCAGTTCTGGGTATCAGTTCAGTCTATCACTTACGTGTATCTTTTCTATATATCTGTCCCGTGTATCCATTCTGTGTATCAGTTCTGTGTATCAGGTGTGTGTATCAGTTCTGTGCATCAATTCTGTGTATCAGTTCTGTGTATCAATTCTGTGTATCCATTAGCTGTATCGGTTCTGTGTATCAGTGCTGGTTATCAGTTCTACGTATCAGTTCTGTGTAACAGTTTTGTGTATTAGTTCTGTGTATACTTTCTGTGTATCAGGTCCGTGTATCGGTTCTGAGTATTCATTCAGTGTATCCATTTTGTGTTTCAGTTCTGTGTGTCAGTTTTGTGTATCAGCTCTGTGTATCGGTTCTGAGTATCGGTTGTGTGTATCAGTTCTGTGTATCGGTTCTGTGTTTCAGTTCTGTGTATCAGTTCTGTGTATCCATTCTTGGTATCAGATCTGGGTATCAATTCTGTGTATCCATTATGTGTATCAGTTCTGGTTATCGGTTCTGTGTATCAGTTCTGTATATCAGTTCTGGTTATCTGCTCTGCGTATCAGTTCTGTGCATCAGTTCTCTGTATAGTTTCTTTGTATCAGTTCCGCGTATCAGCTCCCTGTTTCGGTTCCGTGTATCCATTCTGTGTATCAGTTCTGTGTATCGGTTGTGTGTATCAGTTCTGTGCATCAGTTCTGTGTATCAGTTCTGTGTATCAATTCTGTGTATCCATTATCTGTATCGGTTCTGTGTATCAGTGCTGGTTATCAGTTCTGCGTATCAGTTCTGTGTATCAGTTTTGTGTATTCATTATGTGTATTAGTTCTGTGTATACTTTCTGTGTATCAGGTCCGTGTATCGATTCTGAGTATCCATTCAGTGTATCCATTTTGTGTTTCAGTTCTGTGTATCAGTTTTGTGTATCAGCTCTGTGTATCGGTTCTGTGTATCGGTTGTGTGTATCAGTTCTGTGTATCGGTTCTGTGTATCAGTTCTGTGTATCAGTTCTGTGTATCCATTCTGGGTATCAGTTCTGGTTATCTGTTCTGTGTATCAGTTCTGTGCATCAGTTCTCTGTATAGTTTCTTTGTATCAGTTCCGCGTATCAGCTCCCTGTTTCGGTTTTGAGTATCGATTCAGTGTATCCATTTTGTGTTTCAGTTCTGTGTTTCAGTTCTGGGTATAAGTTCTGGGTATTAGTTCCGTGTATCCCTTCTGTGCATCAGTTCTGGGTATTAGTTCCGTGTATCCATTCTGTGTATCAGTTCTGAGTATCAGTTCTGGGTATTAGTTCCGTGTATCCATTCTGTGTATCAGTTCTGAGTATCAGTTCTGTGTATCAGTTCTGTGTATCCGTTATGTGTATCGGTTCTGTGTATCAGTTCTGTGTATCAGTTAAGTGTTTCTGGCCTGTGTATCAGTTCTGTGTATCACCTACGTGTATCCATTATGTGTATCAGTTCTGAGTATTAGTTCTGGTTATCGGTTCTGCGTATCAGTTCTGTGTATCAGTTTTGTGTATCCATTTTTTGCATCGATTCTGTGTATTGTTTCTTTGTATCACTTCCGTTTATCAGTTTCGTGTATCGGTTCTGTGTATCGGTTCTGTCTATCGGTTCTGTGCATCAGTTCTGGTTATCAGTTCTGTGTATCAGTTCAGTGTATCCATTGTGTGTTTCAGTTCTGTGTATCAGTTCTGTGTGTCGGTTCTGTGTATCAGTTCTGTGCATCCATTCTTGGTATCAGTTCTGGGTATCAGTTCAGTGTATCCATTCTGTATATCAGTTCTGTGTATCAGTTCTGTGTATCCTTTCTGTGTATCAGCTCTGAGTATCAGTTTTGTGTATCAGTTGTGTGTACCCATTATGTGTATCGGTTCCGTGTATCAGTTAAGTGTTTCTGTCCTGTGTATCAGTTCTGTCTATCACTTACGCGTATCCATTCTGTGTATCAGTTCTGTGTATCAGTTCTGGTTATCGGTTCTGCGTATCAGTTCTGTGTATCAGTTTTGTGTTTCCATTGTGTGCATCGATTCTGTCTATAGTTTTTTTGTATCAGTTCTGTGTATCAGTTAAGTGTTTCTGGCCTGTGTATCAGTTCTGTGTATCACCTACGTGTATCCATTACGTGTATCAGTTCTGAGTATTAGTTCTAGTTATCGGTTCTGCGTATCAGTTCTGTGTATCAGTTTTGTGTATCCATTTTTGCATCGATTCTGTGTATCAGTTTCTTTGTATCACTTCCGTTTATCAGTTTTTCGTGTATCGGTTCTGTGTATCGGTTCTGTCTATCGGTTCTGTGCATCAGTTCTGGTTATCAGTTCTGTGTATCAGTTCAGTGTATCCATTCTGTGTTTCAGTTCTGTGTATCAGTTCTGTGTGTCGGTTCTGTGTATCAGTTCTGTGCATCCATTCAGTTCATCAGTTCTGGGTATCAGTTCTGTGTATCCATTCTGTATATCAGTTCTGTGTATCAGTTCTGTGTATCCTTTCTGTGTATCAGCTCTGAGTATCAGTTCTGTGTATCAGTTGTGTGTACCCATTATGTGTATCGGTTCCGTGTATCAGTTAAGTGTTTCTGTCCTGTGTATCAGTTCTGTCTATCACTTTACGTGTATCCATTCTGTGTATCAGTTCTGTGTATCAGTTCTGGTTATCGGTTCTGCGTATCAGTTCTGTGTATCAGTTTTGTGTTTCCATTGTGTGCATCGATTCTGTCTATAGTTTTTTGTATCAGTTCCGTGTATCAGTTCCGTGTATCGGTTCTGTGTATCAGTTCAGTGTATCCATTCTGTGTTTCAGTTCTGTGTGTGGGTTCTGTGTATCAGTTCTGTGCATCCATTCTGGGTATCAGTTCTGGGTATCAGTTCTGTGTATCAGTTCTGTGTATCGGTTCTGTGTATCAGTTCTGTGTATCAGTTCTGTGTATAAGTTCTGGTTATCGGTTCTGCGTATCAGTTATGTGTTTCAGTTTTGTGTATCCATTATGTGCATTAGTTCTGTGTATAGTTTCTTTGTATCAGTTCCGTGTATCAGTTCCGTATATCGGTTCTGCGTATCGGTCCTGTGTATCAGGTCTGTGGATCTGTTCTGTGTATCAGTTCTGGGTATCAGTTCTGTGTATCACTTCTGTGTATCCATTCTGTGTTTCAGTTCTGTGTATCAATGATGTGTATCAGTTCTGTGTATCGGTTCTGTTTATCAGTTCTGTGTATCAGTTCTGTGTATCAGTTCGGGGTATCAGTTCTGTGTGTCAGTTCAGTGTATCAGTTCTGTGTATCAGTGCTGTGTATCCATTATGTGCATCAGTTCTGTGTATCAGTTCTTGTTATCGGTTCTGCGTATCAGTACTGTGTATCAGTTCTGGTTATCGGTTCTGCGTATCAGTTCTGTGCATCAGTACTGTGTATAGTTTCTTTGTATCAGTTCCGTGTATCGGTTCTGTGTATCGGTTCTGTGTGTCAGGTCTGTGTATCAGTTCTGTGTATCAGTTCTGGGTATCAGTTCTGTGTATCAGTTCTATGTATCAGTTCAGTGTATCCATCCTGTGTTTCGGTTCTGTGTATCAGTTCTGTGTATCCATTCTGTGTACCAGTTCTGGGTATCAGTTCTGTGTATCATTTCTTTGCATCCATTATGTGTATCAGTTCTGGGTATTAGTTCTGTGTATCCATTCTGTGTATCAGTTCTGGGTTTCAGTTCTGTGTATCAGTTGTGTGTATCAGTTCCGTGTATCCATTCTGTGTTTCAGTTCTGGGTATCAGTTCTGTGTATCAGTTGTGTGTATTAGTGGTGTGTATCAGTTTCGTGTATCCATTCTGTGTATCAGTTCTGTGTATCGGTTCTGGGTATCAGTTCTGGGTATCCATTCTGTATATCAGTTGTGTGTATCCCTTCGGTGTATCAGTTCTTGGTATGAGTTCTGGGTATCAGTTCAGTGTATCCATTCTGTGTTTCGGTTCTGTGTATCAGTTCTGTGTATCCATTCTGTGTACCAGTTCTGGGTATCAGTTCTGTGTATCATTTCTTTGCATCCATTATGTGTATCGGTTCTGGGTATCAGTTCTGTGTATCCATTCTGTATATCAGTTGTGTGTATCAGTTGTGTGTATCCCTTCGGTGTATCAGTTCTTGTTATGAGTTCTGGGTATCAGTTCTGTGTATCGGTTTCTGTGTATCAGTTTTGTGTATCCATTCTGTGTTAAAGTTCTGTGTTTAAGTTATGTGTATCAGTTGTGTGTATCAGTTGTGTGTATCAGTTCTGTGTATCAGTTGTGTGTATCAGTTGTGTGTATCAGTTCTGTGTATCCATTATGTGTATCGTTTCTGTGTATCAGTTCTGTGTATCAGTTCCTGTGTCAGTTCAGTTTGTGTATCAGTTCTGTGTATCTGTTTTCTGTATCGGTTCTGTGGAACAGTGATTTTAATGATTGATTAGTGGTATATACTAATATCGTCCCAGGACTTTGCTCCCTGCGATGTGGATAGTCTTGTGAAGGACCTCTGACCCCACTGACCGGGTCTGGTTTGGCTGTTGTCCACCGATATACACATCCAGTGTTCCTGGGGAGGACAGATTCTCTTATATAACCTTGGGGAATTGAATTATGAATGTTTATCACACAAAATTGCATTGAGAAAACTTAAGATATAAAATATCTTGTCCTGAATGTATATATAGTGAAATACCGAAAGATAAGCAGAACAAAGGCAAGAGACTTCATATGTCTACTAACCTTCACATATGACCCAGCCGCTGGACTCCTGCCAGACTGCCATGTTGTCGGACACAATGGTCAGGTTGACGTGCATGGTAGTTCCAGAGGCCAAGCTTACTCGGTCAAATGCCGTCAGCTGCAGTCTGGGGGTGGGCACTGATGATGTTTTCCACGCAATATACACTTGGACTACCTTAAGTAAAAGGACATATCATCACTACTACACCTTTGAAGATACTTTCATTTGACACCTTGAAATCATGTGAGTTTGAGGAATCTCATTAACACAAACACCAAACAAGAAGGTCACGCGCATGAAATTCGCTTTTGACTGTATATGAGCTTTGCATTGAGGTTCGACAAGATATGTATGAAGTCTATTCGCTCGCCACATACGACAACAGTTCGATAGAAAGAGGTCCGACATTATATTATGAGGTATATTCACTCGTCACATACGACAACAGTTCGAAAGAAAGAGGTCCGACAATATGTTGACCTGGTATATTCAATCGCAAGGTGCAACTACAGTTCGATAGAACGAGGTCCGACAAAATATGTACGAGGTCTATTCACTCGCCATATAGGACAACAGTTCGATAGGACGAGGTCCGACAATATATTATGAGGTATATTCACTCGTCACATACGAATGTTGCATTAATATATCTGATTATAATTCATACTATATTCAAATCGAACTTGTAAAAAGACTTTGGCGCAGTTTGAATCAGCATGATATGACTGTTTTACCATGTCTTGAAGAGATTAACACGTTGCTAGTTACACTATTCCGTACACTGACAATACACCCGCCTGTCCAGCATCAGTGGACGGTAAATCAGGTCTACACAAGGATGTATCAACACCAACGTCTTCTATATTTCTTCTGTGTATTTGATTTTTTCTGCATAACTGTTCCATCAGTGGCAACTGTTGTAACAGGCAACTGTTGTAGGAGTAGTGTTGTAACGGGAAACTGCTGTAAGAGTACTGTTGTAACAGGCAACTGTTGTAAGAGGACTGGACAACAGTACTCTTACAACAGTTGCCTGTTACAACAGTACTCCTACAACAGTTGCCTGTTACAACAGTACTCCTACAACAGTTGCCACTGATGGAACAGTTATGTAGAAAGACATGAAATACACAGAAGAAATATAGAAGACGTTGGTGTTGATACATCCTTGTTGTAACAGGCAACTGTTGTAAGAGTACTGTTATAACAGAGAACTGTTGTAAGAGTACTGTTGTAACAGGCAACTGTTGTAAGAGTACTGTTGTAACTGGCATCTATTGTAAGAGTACTGTTGTAACAGGCAACTGTTGTAAGTGTACTGTTGTAACAGGCAACTGCTGTAAGAGTACTGTTGTAACAGGCAACTGTTGTTAGAGAACTGTTGTAACAGGCAACTGTTGTAAGAGTACTGTTGTAATAGTACTGTTGTAACAGGCAACAGCAGTAAGAGTACTGTTGTAAGAGGCAACTGTTGTAAGAGGAATGTTGTAACAGGCAACAGCTGTAAGAGTACTATTGTAAAGGCATCTGTTGTAAGAGGACTGTTGCAACAGGCAACTGTTGTAAGAGTACTGTTGTTAGAGGCAACTGTGGTAAGAGTATTGTTGTAACAGGCAACTGTTGTAAGAGTACTGTTGTAACAGGGAACTGTTGTAAGAGTACTGTTGTAACAGGCAACTGATGTAAGAGTACTGTTGTAACAGGGAACTGTTGTAAGAGTACTGTTGTAAGAGGCAACTGTTGTAAGAGGACTCTTGCAAAAGGCAACTGTTGTAAGAGTACTTTTGTTAGAGGCAACTATTGTAAGAGTATTGTTGTAACAGGCAACTGCTGTAAGAGTTCTGTTGTAAGAGGCAACTGCTGTAAGAGTACTGTTGTAACAGGCAACTGTTGTAAGAGTACTGTTGTAAGGAGGCAACTGTTGTAAGAGTACTGTTGTAACAGGCAACTGTTGTAAGAGTACTGTTGTAACAGGCAACTGTTGTAAGAGTACTGTTGTAACAGGCAACTGTTGTAAGAGTACTGTTGTAACAGGCAACTGTTGTAAGAGTACTGTTGTAACAGGTAACTGTTGTAAGAGTACTGTTGTAAGAGGCAACTGTTGTAAGAGTACTGTTGTAACAGGCAACTGTTGTAAGTGTACTGTTGTAAGAGGCAACTGTTGTAAGAGTACTGTTGTAAGAGGCAACTGTTGTAAGAGTACTGTTGTAACAGGCAACTGTTGTAAGAGTACTGTTGTAACAGGCAACTGTTGTAAGAGTACTGTTGTAAAGGCACTGTTGTACTGTTGTAACAGGGAACTGTTGTAAGAGTACTGTTGTAACAGGCAACTGTTGTAAGAGTACTGTTGTAAGAGGCAACTGTTGTAAGAGTACTGTTGTAACAGGAACTGTTGTAAGAGTACTGTTGTAACAGGCAACTGTTGTAAGAGTACTGTTGTAAGAGGCAACTGTTGTAAGAGTACTGTTGTAAAGAGCAACTGTTGTAAGAGTACTGTTGTAACAGGGAACTGTTGTAAGAGTACTGTTGTAACTGTTGTAACAGAGTACTGTTGTAACAGGCAACTGTTGTAAGAGTACTGTTGTAACAGGGAACTGTTGTAAGAGTACTGTTGTAACAGGCAACTGTTGTAAGAGTACTGTTGTAACAGGGAACTGTTGTAAGAGTACTGTTGTAACAGGCAACTGTTGTAAGAGTACTGTTGTAAGAGGCAACTGTTGTAAGAGTACTGTTGTAACAGGCAACTGTTGTAAGAGTACTGTTGTAACAGGCAACTGTTGTAAGAGTACTGTTGTAACAGGCAACTGTTGTAAGAGTACTTGTAACAGGCAACTGTTGTAAGAGTACTGTTGTAAGAGTACTGTTGTAAAGGTACTGTTGTAACAGGTTGTTGTAAGAGTACTGTTGTAACAGGCAACTGTTGTAAAGAGTACTGTTGTAACACTGGGCAACTGTTGTAAGAGTACTGTTGTAAGAGGCAACTGTTGTAAGAGTACTGTTGAGCAACTGTTGTAAGAGTACTGTTGTAACAGGGAACTGTTGTAAGAGTACTGTTGTAAGTTGTAAGAGTACTGTTGTAACAGGCAACTGTTGTAAGAGTACTGTTGTAACAGGCAACTGTTGTAAGAGTACTGTTGTAAGAGGCAACTGTTGTAAGAGTACTGTTCTAAGAGCACTGTTGTAAGAGTACTGTTGTAACAGGGAACTGTTGTAAGAGTACTGTTGTAACAGGCAACTGTTGTAAGAGTACTGTTGTAACAGGCAACTGTTGTAAGAGTACTGTTGTAACAGGCAACTGTTGTAAGAATACTGTTGTAACAGGGAACTGTTGTAAGAGTACTGTTGTAAGAGGCAACTGTTGTAAGAGTACTGTTGTAAGAGGCAACTGTTGTAAGAGTACTGTTGTAACAGACAACTGTTGTAAGAGTACTGTTGTAACAGGCAACTGTTGTAAGAGCACTGTTGTAAGAGTACTGTTGTAACAGGCAACTGTTGTAAGAGTACTGTTGTAAGAGCACTGTTGTAAGAGTACTGTTGTAACAGGCAACTGTTGTAAGAGTACTGTTGTAACAGGCAACTGTTGTAAGAGTACTGTTGTAACAGGTTGTAAGAACTGTTGTAAAGAGTACTGTTGTAAAGGCAACTGTTGTAAGAGTACTGTTGTAACAGGCAACTGTTGTAAGGAATACTGTTGTAACAGGCAACTGTTGTAAGAGTACTGTTGTAAGAGGCAACTGTTGTAAGAGTACTGTTGTAAGAGGCAACTGTTGTAGGAGTACTGTTGTAACAGGCAACTGTTGTAAGAGTACTGTTGTAACAGGCAACTGTTGTAAGAGTACTGTTGTAACAGGCAACTGTTGTAAGAGTACTGTTGTAACAGGCAAACTGTGTTGTGTAAGAGCACTGTTGTAAGAGTACTGTTGTAAGAGGCAACTGTTGTAAGAGTACTGTTGTAACAGGCAACTGTTGTAAGAGTACTGTTGTAACAGGCAACTGTTGTAAGAGTACTGTTGTAAGAGTACTGTTGTAACAGGCAACTGTTGTAAGTGTACTGTTGTAACAGGCAACTGTTGTAAGAGTACTGTTGTAACAGGCAACTGTTGTAAGAGCAACTGTTGTAAGAGTACTGTTGTAACAGGCAACTGTTGTAAGAGTACTGTTGTAACAGGCAACTGTTGTAAGAGTACTGTTGTAACAGGCAACTGTTGTAAGAGTACTGTTGTAACAGGCAACTGTTGTAAGAGTACTGTTGTAACAGGGAACTGTTGTAAGAGTACTGTTGTAACAGGGAACTGTTGTAAGAGTACTGTTGTAACAGGCAACTGTTGTAAGAGTACTGTTGTAACAGGGAACTGTTGTAAGAGTACTGTTGTAAGAGTACTGTTGTAACAGACTGTTGTAACAACTGTTGTAAGAGTACTGTTGTAACAGGCAACTGTTGTAAGAACTGTTGTAACAGGCAACTGTTGTAAGAGTACTGTTGTAACAGGCAACTGTTGTAAGAGTACTGTTGTAACAGGAACTGTTGTAAGAGTACTGTTGTAACAGGCAACTGTTGTAAGAGTACTGTTGTAACAGGCAACTGTTGTAAGAGTACTGTTGTAACAGGGAACTGTTGTAAGAGTACTGTTGTAAGAGGCAACTGTTGTAAGAGTACTGTTGTAAAAGGCAACTGTTGTAAGAGTACTGTTGTAAGAGGCAACTGTTGTAAGAGTACTGTTGTAACAGGCAACTGTTGTAAGAGTACTGTTGTAACAGGGAACTGTTGTAAGAGTACTGTTGTAACAGGCAACTGTTGTAAGAGTACTGTTGTAACAGGCAACTGTTGTAAGAGTACTGTTGTAACAGGCAACTGTTGTAAGAGTACTGTTGTAAGAGGCAACTGTTGTAAGAGTACTGTTGTAACAGGCAACTGTTGTAAGAGTACTGTTGTAAGAGGCAACTGTTGTAAGAGTACTGTTGTAACAGGCAACTGTTGTAAGAGTACTGTTGTAACAGGCAACTGTTGTAAGAGCAACTGTTGTAACAGGCAACAGGCAACTGTTGTAAGAGTACTGTTGTAACAGGGAACTGTTGTAAGAGCACTGTTGTAAGAGTACTGTTGTAACAGGGAACTGTTGTAAGAGTACTGTTGTAACAGGCAACTGTTGTAAGAGTACTGTTGTAACAGGCAA